AAAGATTTTCAGTATTTAAATAGGAGGTTTTTTAAGTTTTAGGGCTTAGAGAGTGAATTTTTTTGTTCTGTTTGGGTTCTGTGAGTGCAAGTTGCAGCAGGCTTAAAGGTTTGCTACTTCTTGCAAGCATGGGATGCTTCACTTCATTAAAGCTAATGACCTTGCATTGTGCTGAATGCCATTGATCCCGCATTTCACTATTTTGATGCACCAGAGCTCAACCAGGCTATGTCAGGGTAGTTGCTACATTCAGTGATACAGTTTCCCTACCTCAAATGTAAGTAACTTGGTACCCAGCAGAATATTTAAGTGAAAGTAGCTGTAAGCTGACAGTATTCAAAATGCATTCTGAAATTCTAAGTTAATTCTTTATCAGATGGCCTTTTTAAAAGGAAATGAAAGCATGTGAAGTTCCTCTGCCCGTAGGAGAGGTACCGAATGGCACGTACGATGAAGCTCCCAACCGCTGCCGCAGTGTCAGTGCTTCTCTGGGTCGGGGAGAGAACAGCCTCTTCACATCTGGAAGGTGCCAGTTCTGCATGCAAATATTAGGATGTAGTTTCTTTTTTCTGCAGGTATGAACATTTGCTTGCTAAATGCTGGGTATTGCTCTGAGATAAGACTGATACCCTGCATTCAGTGGCTCTATACCCTGTCACTATTCAGACTGATCCAGGAGTGCGATCCCAGGATGTTCCCTTCACTTAACTCAAGAGGCTCTGCCTGTGCGAAAACACACTGTACCAGTATTAAAGGTGGCAGTTAGCATGTTGGGTGAGCAATGAATGAGGCCATTTATAACCAGTTACGCTGGCATGAGTCTCTCCCAACAAATTTGCATCGTTAAAACACCTTTGGAAAAATGTGTCATGCGTATAATTAAATACCTGTTTTGCTAACTCTTTAATTAATGCAAAGTAAAGATGGCAGCACAAATTAATTTTGTTGGAAATGGCTTTTCTCTCAGTGGGCTGAAGGAAGATTTTCTGGAGGCATTGTACCAGGTGCCCTCAGAAACGGGCAGGTGAACTCCAGGACTGATTGACACAGTTTTTTTGGCAGTGATGGCCATGAGATCCTCATAGCAGTAGGTATGCCGTATATCAGCTCACTTTTTTCCCCTTGTGAGAACAAAGATGGAGGCCAGCTAGAAGGTGCTTTCTTTGGGAGGACAGTGTCGCTACTTTTCAGCTCTACCCTGAGAGCTATTTGGTGGCAGCCACAGTAAATCCAGGTTCACACAGGTGAATGAAAAGAAATTCGTATAACAGAAGATCTTTCTGTGTCTCCCCTTGGTTTTTCCTTCTGTACCTTGATCTCTTTCACCAGTACCCATGTTTCTCCCTCTGCTCATCCGCTTTAAATATTCATTCCTCTTAACTTTCTTTAAAGACTGCCTTGTAGATGATCTTTTGGTTTGACCTCTTTCCTGACCTTGTGTATTCTTTTTTTTTTTTTTCCCCCTCCCCTGCCTTTTTGATCTGTTTCTCCCTGCCGCTTAATCTTTTTTCCCTTTCCATCTTGCTTGGGATAAAACTGGAGCACAGACTGTGTTCACTGTGCAAGTGCAGGTGAGTTGTCAGCCCAACATTGTAGGAAGAAGGGTGTCTGTTGGTGCTTCCTGCAGACCCATCTGAGCACCAGAAGAATTAAAAAACCCAAACAAACTTTTCAATCTTCCAAAAATGCTAGTTACTGCTTAGCAGTTCTCATTTCAGCTTAAGTAAAAATAAATGTGTGTATGAGCGAAGAAAGCTGCTGTGCTCTACAACATGGAGTGCTACCTCTGTGCACTTTCAGGATCGGCTTTTTCTATCTGATATGTCCTTCAAGAGGGAAAACCAACTTCATTTATCAGACAGGATTCTTTGTTACTGGGACTGAGTAAAGGGCTGGTGCAGATGGGAGTGGGCTCTGGGTGATGGGCAGGAGCATGCAGGTCTCACAGAATCGATTCGATTCTGTCTCCTATGGCAGAACTGGCTGAGGTGGGCTGCTCTGGGCTGGTGGTGCTCCAGGAGGGCAGATGTGTTGGATTGGGCTGGCACTTTGGGACTGGTAATATGTGCTCACTAGAGATGGATCTTGAGCGGTGACTCAGACTGGTGTTGGGTGGCACTGGGAGGGTGCAGGATCCTGTGGGAGGGACTGGGGAGAATTTATGGCTTGAAGCTCCCCGTGGCACTGGCTGATGCTGGTGCTCCACTGAGGCTTTTTGGGATGACTTTCCTCCATACCCCATCAGCTGAGATGAATGCAAATATGAAGCTGATTTTGTCTAATTTTGGTAGCCTGAACACTCCAGGGTTCCTATCCAATGGTGACCTTTAGCATCATCCAGCTTTTGCAATTGGAGCCAGTGCTTTTAACAGTGCCTTTTGTGTTCGCTTACTGAAACACAGGGTCTGTTTCGCAGGAAACTTGTTTACACCTGCCACAGTCATCATCTTTACTCTTCCTTTGCTCCTTTCACTGGAGCTGCGGTAGTTGAAACTGCAGAATGTCCTTTCATTCCCCAGCATCCTCGGCATGGGACGTGACTGCAATAGAGCAGCTGGGGAGAGGATGCAGGGTGTGAGACCCACTTAGAAATGTTAGCCAGATGTGGACAGCTCAAGGAGATGATACAATTCGGCTTTGGAAAGACTCAAGTGCAGTGGGTTATTATTTTTACTTCTCCTTTTTTAGCTGTTCATTTTAGGGTTTACAAAACAGCCCTTGTAAATCCATTTTAGAGTTTACAAAACAGCACATACAGATGCACTAAGGCAACTCAGCAACTACAGGAGAGTCTCCTCTCCATTACCGTTAGCAGGGGGTCGATAGCACTTGCTGCAGGGTTTGCCAGGCTTGTACTTTCAGCTCTTCTGCCGGGGGTAAATGGTGGTCTCCTTGTTGAGCTGAGGGGTTGGGCACTTTCAGACCACTAAAACTGCGAGCGGCTTTTTGGGGGTGCCCCATGCAGCACGTAAGCTGGTGGGTTCATGCTGCAGCAGAAGAATGCGGGGAAGCCAGGGCGAGGGGAGGTGCTAGGACAGGAGGATTTGCAAAGCTGCTGTTGCAAGCATTGTGCTCAGCCTGCTCTCTGGTGGTAGCTGCTGTAGCAGAGATGACCTTTGATAAAACGTGAAGCATTTGGTTTGATTTGGACAGTTGTTGCTCAGCTTCATACAGCCACGGTTCATAGCAGAGTCAAGTCAGCTGCTCTTGCTTTTGTTCCCTTACCACTGTGCAAAATTCACGGGTTAAAAATCAAATCACAGCAGCTTCCGGATGAGAACTGCCAACAAAGCTTGCTTCCCAGCAGCTCTCCCCGGTGCACGTTCTCTAGTGTCTAATAAGGGCTGAGCTCTACTGCTCTTTTCTTTCAGATTGGGGAGACTGGTAGAAAAGCAGACAGAAGAGGCACCTGCTGGCATGCAACATGAAAGAAATAAACATCTTTGGGATCTTCAGTCAAATTTGGCTGAAAACAGCCAGCAGGTTCCAAAACTCTTGCCAGGACTGAGATACAGAGAGGCACTTAAAGACCACTTGATTGTGATCTCTTACGGTCTCAGCTGGGCTAGAGCCCACAGCATCCAGGGCAGGCAGGAGAGCTCCGGTGGTGGTGGAGCATCACTGCTGTGCTCTGGTCTGCGCTGGTGAACACGGGAATGCTCTTCATTTAGATCAGCTAGTGGCAACAGGCAAACTGTGTGTCTGGGTTTTTTGTGCGAAGCTGTTGTGAGGAAGGAAGTGCTTGGTAAGTTGTTCGAAGGAGGCAGGCAGGTCATGCTTGTGTAGAGCCTGGGAGAGAAGGTTGTGATGAGTGCTTCTGCTTTTCAATCCTGAAAATAGCTGTTTACTGTCACCAGAGTGATGGGTTTTGACGATTTTAGCTGGGAGAAAAGGAAGAATGGGAGAGAAGGTTGTTGGGACCCTGTCCTGCCTTTGCTGACATCCCACTAGTAAAAGGTCAACCCCATTCGTGTTTCCTTGATAAAGTGTCAGTGTGTTGGATATGTCTTCCAGCAGTATTTGGTTGCTGTATTTCTTAGCAAGATCTGTTTTAACAATACCCAAGGGATGTGACAGTCATACATGTGGTTTCTTTGTGCTGGAGATACCTTCAGGACTGAAGTGCCTGTAGGACATAACGTGCAGGTTTGGCCATTTGCTGTTAAGGATGGAGCTAGCTCGTGAGGCTTTTCTGCTGTTGTACGAGACCTAATCAGGCAGCTTTGAGACTTCAGAGCAAGCAGGCACCCTCTGTTTTAATCCAGTTTCCATCCCTTTGACAGTGGAGGTGGGACATCGTTTTAGCATTTTATGTAACTATCTGTATTTCTTGTGGCTAGTAAAGTATTCATTTTACCTAGGAACATAGCATATGCTATGTCTTTGAATCCCAACATTTGTGACTCTGATGTTTAAAGGCAATTTAAGCAGATTTGAGGTTCTTTTTTTCTATGTGAATTGCTGTGGTCTCATCAAGACAACTTTTAGTAGCAGCAACCACGTGGAAGTATTGTCTTCCTACAATTAGAGGTTAAGAGTTGACAACAAATGAGCCAGGGATTATAGTTAAAACCCAGGGTAATTCTTTGTGCATGGTGAAAACTTAGGAATAAAAACTCATGGTGTAACACACCATGCACTTATTAGATGCAAATAAGAGATGATGTGTCTTGCAGTGAAAGACATTTGGATTGTGTGTATTTTGCCGAGCACAGGAGCAATTCCTCTTATTCTGTAGAAGCTGAGGTTTTTGTTCAGTTGGTACTGATGCTCTTTGAGAAAGCTTTTACCTCTCTGCTTCCTGAGGTCTGACATGGAAGAGAAAAGCTTCAATAGGCACCAGCTGCTCAATGGGCCCTATCTTTTCAGAGCATTGCTCGCTTTTCTCCATGCCCAATTAAAATGTGTGTTAAACTTAGCTTTTGTTTGAAGCAGCCAGCGCTGTGGTATTTAATGTAAAAGGAATGTGCTCCTCACCTTTTCTCTCTCTTTTGTCGCAGGGTCAGCATTCTTCAGGGGAGGACATGGAAATCTCTGATGACGAGACCAACCCTGCGCCCATCACCAGTGCAGAATGTGCCAAAACCATTGTGGTGAACTCCTCTGTGAGCAACACAGCCGTGATGGCCCCATCGATTCCCCCCATGCCACCACCGGGATTCCCTCCTCTTCCTCCTCCGCCGCCTCCACAGCCAGGCTTCCCGATGCCTCCGCCGCTACCTCCACCACCTCCACCCACTCACCCTGCTGTCACCGTCCCCCCACCTCCGCTCCCTGCCCCGCCTGGGGTCCCTCCACCTCATATCTTGCCTCCGCTTCCTCCGTTCCATCCTGGCATGTTCCCTGTCATGCAAGTGGATATGATAAGTGTCTTGGGCAACCAGTGGGGTGGCATGCCAATGTCCTTCCAGATGCAAACTCAGATGCTGAGCCGCATGATGCAGGCACAAAACACATACCAGTATCCCCCTTTCATGACGGGCCGGATGCAGTTTGTGAATCTTCCGCCCTACCGCCCTTTCTCGATGGGAGCAGCTCTTGGTCGCGGACAGCAGTGGCCACCACTGCCCAAGTTTGACCCCTCGGTTCCACCACCGGGTTACGAGCCGAAGAAGGAAGATCCCCACAAAGCCACTGTGGATGGAGTCCTCTTGGTCATAGTGAAGGAACTAAAGGCTATCATGAAAAGGGACCTGAACCGGAAGATGGTTGAAGTGGTAGCGTTTCGGGCATTTGATGACTGGTGGGACAAGAAGGAACGTCTGGCAAAGGTAGGCTTTCAACATACTCTCTGCTGGATCCCAGGGAGAGAGCTCTTCTTAGTGCTTGTGGCCAGGGCGTGGGTAAGCAGGGGTCTGGAATTGGCTTCAAAAAACCCCACAACCCTAAAATGTTACAGTGACTAAAATAGAAGCAAAAAGTAAAGCCATGGAATAGCTTTGGTGTGAGAAACCCTACTGCTTGAGGCTGCTGAAATTAAATGGGAGGCATGCGTGTCCCTGTCCCTCTCCTGGCTCCGTGCCTCCCCACGAGGCTGCTCTTTGTGCTGAGGCAGGCGGCAGGAGTGTGTGCTGGGAGCAGCAGACCTCAGCCTGCGAGTGTGTGGAAGGTGCTCAGTCACTGCAGGCACCTGCCTTGGGACAGCTTAGCACCTGGGTATTAAACCTGGCTTGTTTCCATGCTGTCACTCCATATATGCAGGTATTTCATGCTGCTTTGCCATCAGAACAAATACAGGCTGGGAATTTTAGTCCTTTCTATTCACTGATGGAGGTACCCCATGCAGAGTTCTCTCTGAACACATGTGGAGCCATAACTGCTCACCTAGGAGTGAACTGCTGCTCTGTCTCGCACCGTCCCACTGATTTGAATGTGGGCAAGTGTTTAGTTCTCCGTGTCATCACTCTGCTTTGGGGTGGATCTCCTCCTCGTCCCTTCCAGCTTTGGGGCCACCTCAGGGCAGCCGTTCCTCTTCAAGGGACTAAGCACAGCTCATGCCTTGCGAGGGTCTCGGAGAGCGTCTTCATGTTTGGCGGCGCGTTGCCCAAGCTGGCCTGCATGGCTGCTCAGTTCATCTCGGCAGGATGCACCGGCCGTGGTGGGGCATGATACAGGAGGGATCTGCAAACGAGATGTTATTCCAGCCGTGTTTTGGAGAGCTGTAATGTCCTTAAACAGGAATCTGAGGAAGGGCATTGCCACAGCCGCAGCTGCTCCAGGGCAGGGTTGCGGGCTAGGTAACCTCCTGCATGTCACCGCAGCCCCGTGGTGCGTGTTTGCAGACTTTCCCTGCTGAGGTGGAGGGGCTTGCACGCTTCTGTTAAAGCTGAAGTCTGCCGAGCAGTGGTCGTAGGATGAGGCTAACTGCTCCTACAGGCAGAGTAGGTGCCCATGGGAGAGTCCTCTCCACTGTGCTCCTTTCAGGAAGGCCTTCAGGAGTGGTGGGGGGCCTGCTCTTATACTTCAAAAGCCCAGGGTTATTCCCTTCCCTTCATCTGCTTTCCCTTTCCCCCCTCAGCACAGTATTTCCAGGGCCTGAAATTTGAAAAGTTTAGCTGATTTTTATTTTTTTTTCTTTTTTTTTGGTGGTCTGGGGCACTGCTGGCAGCCTCTGGGAAGGGGTTTGCAGGAGGAAATGACCCCGAGATCAGGAGACAAATGTGCAAGTGTTTCTTGCATCTAAGAGGAAGCTGAACTTTAGCTCCAAAAAACTAAATCAGATGCAACAGGAGTATTTGAAACCACCAAGCCACTCTTTTGTGTTCCCCACTTTGCGTGATGAGCTCTGTAGGTATTTCCAGTTCTCTGCACTCCTCCCGCCTCCCCAGTGCATGTACGCAGCAGCAATTAACTCAAAAGCTGAACATTGGCCAAATACACGAGGAGTTGCAGGGATTAGTTAAGAAAATAGCTTTGCATGAATCGTCTGATCCTTTCTCAGCCAATTTGAAGTGTACCTCAGCCAGCCAACAGCTCTGTGATCTAATACAGGGTGAATTTGTCACTACCAAAAAAAAGCTAACACTATAGAAAGGTTCATGCAAGCCTCAAAATTATTATTACAGTGAATTATTGTAAAAAAAAAAACAAAAACCAACAAAACAAACCACAACCTGCAGACACATCTTCTGTTTCAGATGCCAGTTTCAGAGCAGTATCTTCACCACCTGTTTTTGTAAGCCAGCTGCGTGTTAACTCTAGTGCCTGGGAGAGCTCCTAGGCTTTCCAGGGAGGTTGATACTGCTGCTGCTTAACAGCTGTTTTATGACAGTGTAATTTGCTCTGCCTTACAGCTGGCTGGTGTGACATGTAGCAAGAAACTCATCCCTCTCTTCCTGACTAATGCTCAGAGCTTCTACCTCCTACCAGTGAGTGTGTGCTGACAATTTAGGAGACCCCCGAGTTTCCAGGGCAGCAAGGGAAATAGATCCAGCAAATAGTTGCAAAAGCAGCACCTGAAGTACCCAAGAAATTGTTTTAAACCAAACATCCACAGTGAAGAAGCAAAAGCAAGTCGAGGCAGATCTTCAGCAGCTGCTCGGGCTCTTTTATATCCCAAGCTATGACTGGATTTAGCATGTTCCTCCCTCACCTGGAATTTGTAACCCACTTTGGGAAGGGAAGCTGACGGTACCACAGCAGCTTGCCACAGGTTATGTTGGATGTGAGCAGTCTAATTTAAAATATGAAATTGCTGCATGGAAAGACACTTGTGTTTTCTGTCCAGGAAGAGAAATGCCAGACCCATTGTTGCTTCAGGGCACCGCCTGGAGAAGCCTCTGCCAGGCCACGCGTTACTGTCGCGTGCAGAAAAATCTCACAGATTTCAGAGCCCCCTTTCTGCTAGGACTGGGCACCCCCGACACTGGTGTGGGACAGGATTCCTTCTCGGTCCTGAGCTGCCTACTCTTGTGAAAGGAAAACAAAATATCAGTATTCAGCTTAAACTGTACCTTCCTATTGCTGGTGTCTTTATGTGTGTGTGAAGATGAGCCGACTGGGCTCCTTGGTGGCAGCTGGAGGTCAGTTCCCTACATAACTTCCCATCACACTGATTTTTCTAGAATGGACGAAGGCCTCCAGGCACTGTTTGAGCTGAAGTGACCCTCCAAAACAGGCCCTGTATCCTCATTTCTTCCTTCCTAACGGTTTTAATTGGAGCTCTTCATATTTTTCATTACTGATTGACAGTAGTGAAAGAAATTATAGAGGTTTGGAAGTATAAATAAGACAACATATGTGCTCTTTTACATCTTTTTTTTTCTTTAGAAATAAATGAGGCAGATTTGTGGGGAGAGATAATATCTTTTAATATCTCCTAGCCTTGGACCATCTAGCTGCAGCAGCCCTCCTGTTATTTCACAGGAGAGATCAAAGCTCATCTTGGAAGCGCGTGAGCTCCACCGTATGCCAGTTCCTACAGTAGGTATGTCCCTCTTTGGTCAGAGCTCTGCTATCTCCCTGACCTTTCCCAAGCATAACAGCAGGAAACCTTGTGGGTTTCTTTTTTTCCCCTGACTGACCGACAATGTTCAAGTTCAGTAGGACAGCAAGTACTATTTACACACTGCTGCTGGCAGCCCCTGAACCTTCAACGGCGTACGAGAAGGCAACACACTTGTCACCTCCTGTGCTTCAGTTTCTCTCTTTTTCTCTCTGTTTTTTGGCCACTGTTCCATCAGAGGAATCTACTTGGCCAGCCAGTTGACTGCCAAGAAGTAGTGTGCCATAGGTAAAAGGTGGGAAAGCTCGAGGGTAAAGCTGATGTCCTAGATCAGGCGGGATAGAAGACGTATGGGGTGAAAGCTGCTAAGGAGCATGTTGCTAGGGAAGGCAGCACATACCATGGGCCTTGTCTGCCTGAGCTAGGGGAAAGTTTTTCCCTCTTCCCAAATCTAGTGAGGGGTTTAGGTTTGAAAGCCTGAGTAAGTTGCTTTAAGCAGAGTGCCAGGAATAACCAGCCATCCCTGGCCAGGGAATGCCGCCACCTGTATTCTCTGCTTGATATTCCCACTAGTCTTGTCCCTTATTAGCAGGAGAGCTGAGCTTACGATTCCTCTGCGGTGATTACAGCCAGCTTCGGCAAATTAGCTCTGTTAATGTCTGTAAGAGAAACCGACTTTTAGATGGTGTTATGCCACTGGCTGATGCGAATGGATGTTACCTCCAGTGCCCTTTGCTGAAGAAGAGTGTGGCGTGCCACCATTTGTGATGCTCTCCCCGGCTCATCTGCCTCTCCACGGCTGCAGAGGTTTGAATTCCTGCTCTTCTTTCGCATCTCAGCTCTGGTAAAAAGGGATTTGTTGTGGCTGAGCAGAGATGAGGCTGTGCATCTAGTTACCGAGTTCTGTAGACCCTTAGGTATTTGGCCTAAATAGTTTGATTTTCCCATTTCCCAGGACTGGAGCCTTCTGACAGATTTTTGTGGACTTGGGCTGCGATTGCTTAGTGAACACAGGGATGTGTGTGATTTTTGACTCGCTATATTGTGCCTTACAGTAAGGTCTGCCCAGCTAGAAGGTCTGAAATTGTTTTCAGTTCTGTGGGTTAGCAAATGGAGGTAGATAACACAGCATTAGTCTAACTTGCCTAAAGCATGTTTGAGTTATTTGTAAAAGGTGTACGTGTAGCTCTATTTCTCACATATCTTTGACCAGACAAGATGGGCTCCTGCAGCGTTTGGGAGTCTGGGGGTGTTGGTGTATGAGGATGGTGGTGTATCCCAGCTCCTTAGCTTCCCTTCAGAGTTCAGGACCTTTGTACCGTAGCTGCTCCCTGGCACTTGGCAGCTCCTGCCTGTGTGGAGGAAGGTCTTCCCTTGGGGTGTTGAGTCCTAGTTTCGTATTTGTACCTTTTCTTTCGTCTCTCCTTTTTATGTCCTTTGCTTCTAGCATCTACATTGGATTCTGGCCATTTGGAAGGTGGTCACTGTGGTCCCCACACGAGGCACTTGAGAGACCTGAAATGAGCCATGGTGGATAACGGGTCTATTCATTTCCCTTGTCCTTTCTTGTGAAGGACTTTGGCCTATGTTAAGCTGCATGTGAAGGAAACTGAGATCATGTTTTAAAACACTCAGTGGAGAAAGCAGGAGTGTCTGCTCTGCTACCTGCCAGTGTGATGGCTCCAAATGTGAGATCACCTAGTGTTCATGCTAAGCCGCTATTCTGGGAGTCCCAGCAGTTTTGTTTTAATCAGTTTTAGTGCCTTGTGCAGAGAAAATAAGCTCTTAAAATGCAAAGGGGAGAAGGCTTCTTAGAGGTGGAAAGATCTCATTATCAAGAAGAGCTCTTGCACTCTCTCCCTTTCAAGTGTGTGTGGCCATGTGGTGCATCTTCAGATGCCCTTGCCTTCAGAGAAACTGATGCCTGGGTAAGACAGTGATACTTCACAAACCTCAACTGTCTGAATGGTTTCCAGAGTGTGTGTGCTTCTCAGGAAACTTTCCTTCTCAAGTGTGCTTTCTCTGTTGCAGGCATCTCTTACTCCAGTGAAGTCTGGAGGAGAACTGGAGGAAAAACCAAAGCCAAAGGATCGAATCACGTCTTGTCTTTTGGAGAACTGGAACAAAGGAGAAGGTCTGGGATATGAGGGAATTGGCTTGGGCATTGGGTTACGAGGGGCCATCCGGCTGCCATCCTTCAAGGTAAAAACAAAAATCTGTCTTCATTATGCTAACATTCCCTAAAGCAGCATTAGGAGGACATAACTCTCTAGGTTTGTGCCCCAAAGCCCTACAAGCTGTTAGCCCCACTCTGTGTTCACTTACGGGGTTGCTTCTGACAGCAACCCACCAGTACACTGTAAAGCAAGGATGCGCTTTCACAGCCCTAGCTTTTCATCTACCACTTGTGTGAATTGTCTGTAAAGGATCTCCCTGCTCTGCAAGGTAAATGGGACGTTAGCCTGTGCTTAGGACACAGCTTTTCAGCATGATTGTAAAAATATGCTTATGCTTGTAGGGCTTTACACAGTTATTTCTTTGCTTAAAATGTCTTGCAGTTGGCAGCTGAGTCTCAGCTGAAGTTTGGTTAAAAGTGTTCTCTGCCTCATGTGGATGTACAGACTTGCAAGCATAGGCTCACTTATTTTAAAGAGCATTTGCATAAAAAATGAAAAGTATCTTAAAAAAAGGGTGGGATAGGGGAGGGTAGAGGGCTTCTCTGAAATTAGGATTTTGAATGCACAGAAGGTGCAAGTAAAGGTTCAGGATGAAGAATTCTGCAGTCTTTAGAATAATACTTGCTTTGAGGTTCTTTAAGATGTGATAGGCTCAGGCTCTCTTTCTGTTCTGCTACATCTCAGACATATGGATTTGTCAAGAGTTTTCTGTCATCTTCAAAGTACCTGGTGATGACATGCATCATGCTGGTACCCAGGGTGTTTTGATGCAAATTGAAAGGGTAGAATTTCATTCACAGTGAAATTCTGTTTGGAAGCAAATAAAGGGATTAAGAGCTGGGGAACTGGCCCTTGGTTTCTGGGTGTAAGTCACCATGGCAAAGTAAAGCAGTAGCAATTTGCTTAAGAAGTTGATTTCTGCTGTTTCTAAACTTTTAGAAATGCTAATTGTGTCTTTTGTTCAGGTGAAAAGAAAGGAGCCACCTGAAGCTGCCTCGGCAGGAGATCAGAAGAGAATCCGGCCTTCTACTTCTGTCGATGATGAAGATGAAGGTTTGCAAAGCACATTTGTTTGAAACACAAGAGCAGATGTAAACCACATGCAAGCTGAATTCTTTTAAACTTCACAGCAGTGTGCTCACTTAGTTAGACACAGAGTCAAGGATCTGAGGCAAAATCCTGCTTCTCACAAAACTCTGATCAGCTGGGAGATGTCTCCTCTGGATTCAGTTATCTTAAATTCACTGGCGGGAAATTTAAGGCCCACATTTTATGAATAACTCATAACCTGTTGTAGTTCTGCTGATGCAAAGCTGGTCACCCAGTAGAGGGAGCTCAGATGAGTTCATGGACTGTTCCAGGGGCATGCTTGCAGTTCATAAGACAGTTTGCCTTCTATTTGATTTTAAAAACAAAACAAAGTTACTTGCCAGAAAATTCTATTGGAAAATATTTTAACATTTTTTCCTGGAAGCAGGGAAGAGTAGAGATAAGACAAAATGTTGAATACCCTTTGTTTTGCATAAAAAAAGTGCATTCAAGTTAGTGGCGCTGTAAGGGTGATTCAGACTAACAACTAGTTTTGAAGCCAAAGTACAGAAGCAGGATTTTGTAAAGCACTTAAATAAAAGAAAAAGGCATTAAATTTGGCTTACCTAATCTGACTTCAGTTGTGCCATGTCTCTTAGCTGCTCTGCCTATAGCTTGTCAGCTTTGGCCACCCACATTTTGCCGTTCTTGGCATTTCAACACCCTGCACCTAGTCTCGCCCTCACTTGCACTGTGAAATTAGTAAGCCCCTGTAAGCCTGGGGACTCACACACCACCTGGGCACATTGCTCCTAACTTTGATCTTCTGAAAGAAAAAATTGCCATTACATAGTCAACCTTTCCCTCTCTTACAAGGTATTTGATGGCAATTTCCTTCTTGGTTTTGCTCACTAGAGTCAGAGAGGGACAGGGATGCTTCCGATGCAACATCTGACCTGTCAAAGAAGGATGCAGAAGCAGTGGGGCTGAGGCGGCGACCAGCAAGGCCGCTGGAGCTCGACAGCGAGGGAGAAGAGGGAGATGAGACATCAGGGAAAGAAGAAGAGTCCTCCTCGGAGAAGGAGGAGGAGCAGGAAGAAGAGGGAGGCTTGGTGAAAGCAGCACCTGGCAAGGTGTGTTGGTTTGTGATTGCAGTTTTGAATGGTGTCTGTCATTAAAAGGGGGCCTAGTAATTCCAAATGCCAAAGTTACCTTCACTAGAAGACGAGTGCTCCTGTTAGGGTCTGTTCTAAGAGAACTTCTGTAAGGTTATTCCCTCTTGAGGTTCTCTGAGCAGTGTCCCTGAGAGTTGCTGGTGGTTACTACAGCGACAGCCAGGTCTCAGAGTCAGACGCTGTTCATTTTTGGCAATGCTTTCTTGGAAAGGAGGAAGACGAGGATGAGGAGGAGGATGAAGATGATGAGGATGAAGATGATGATGAAGAGGATGATGAGGATGAAGAGGAGGAGGAGGAGGAGACGGGCATAGACACAAGTGACAAGGAGGAGGAGCAGGACTCCGAGGAGGGTAAGCAGTTCCAGTGGAAGCGGCAAGCGTAGCTTTCGGATCAGGTATGGTCTCCCTTTTGCAGTTGCGATCTGATTTTTTATTTGTGCGCCTTCTTTCACTGAGGGGTGGTTTTATACAAGATAACACATACAGGTATTCTTAATTGTTACCTGTGAGGCTTCCGTGATCGCTAGCTCTGTGAGTCCCTTTGTGACAGCTTTCCAGCCGCTGAGTGATCTCAGCTCAACTTGACAGAGGAGCAGAGCTCTTAAAGCCAGCTAAGTGTGTGCTTGTTTTATGACACACATGTGGCTGGGAGGAGAAGGTACCAGATTTCAAACAGGGGTAATTTAGCTGCTAATAACTTTCTGTCCTATCAATCGGTTCCTGGTCTGGGAGGTGGTAGGTTCCACATTTTAAAGCTGTGTGTGAAGGCAGCAGAAAATCTTAGTACAACTCCAGTAAAGATGCAATGCACCAAGAGACCCACGTGGGCAAGGTGCCAGACAGCCCTAGCTCTGCTCATGGAACTGGCTGTTGCATGGTGATTGTTGTAAGCATCCAAATACATGGTTTATAAGTCTCTGCAAAAATAAAGAAAACCGGGAGGTGATTCCTTCAAACCCACACACTGCTGTTGATGCTGTTTCCACGCTGTTACAGTGTGGAAGTGATATTTTCTCCTGTAGTAGACCCTGGTTGTTTAAGGAAGTCAGAAAGTGGAACTAATGGTAGTTTGTTCTTCTTGTAGATGTAGCAAGTCCTTCTTCTTCCAAGGCTGAAGTTGAATCATCTGATGAAAGTGAGGACTCCTCTGAATTCGAGTCGAGTTCAGACTCAGATGATGAAGATGAGGATGATGACGATGAAGATGAGGAGGAGGAAGAGGAGGAAGAGGTGGCTGAAGATCAAGACAGAGAAGCCATGGTTGCTGAGGCACAGCATGAACCTGCTGGTCATGAGCTTCCTGATGATGAGAGGGAGACTATTTTGGAGCTGTATCCTGTGGATGACTACATGGATGCAACAGGCTTGGGACTCGCAGAGCCAGCTTTGGCAGTGAAAGATGAAGGCATGGAAGAAATCAAGGCAGGAGAAGGTGAATGTGGTGAAGTCCCAGAGGCATCTATTGCTGCTGAAACACTGAAACACTTGGTTATGGAAAGAGACCAGGAGACAAAACTTGCACTGTCTCCCATCTGTAGGCCAGGTATGCCCTTGCATGTGGTTTGGCATTTTTTACCGCGTTTCCAAGTACAGTATTCTCACGGCATCCGATATGTATGGGTTTGTGTTTCCTTGTTCTCTTTCTTCCTCCAGTCTTGGCTCTAGGCTAGGGGTTATCTGCACAGGGAAAGAGGTCTGTGCTGAACTTTCCTTCCTACTAAGGAGCTCTACACAAACCATCTGCTACTAAAAATACTGTGGTTATTGTATCCAGAATCTTATCCTGGGCCAGTTTAGTTACTGCCCTACAGGAACTGAACAGTTGTCATCGTCCGAGGGTGACTGACTGGATGGTGTGGTGGCTGAAGCTCAAGATAGAAAAGCCATGGCTGCTAAAACAGAACAGGAATCTGTGTTTAATGAGTCACTACTGTTTGGTTTTAATACCAAAGCGGTATGTGACTGGGAAGCTATATGGGGCAGGTGAGTGGAGTCTCAGAATCCTATCTGGTTCCTAATATTATTATTTGTGGGGTTTTTTTTACTCGGTCCTTTTAAATGAGTGATACTCCCTGGTTTTCTGGAAGGAGGAAATTGTCTTCAGTGACTCTCCTGTTCGTTCAGCACAAATGGGGAATGCTTCCCTTCCAGCTCCCCAGGCATTTTCACTTCCTTTTGCTCTCCCACTTGAAAATGTTATTTTGAGCTGCCTAACATTCCCTGTTGCTTCCTTTTGGCCCTGGCCCTGAGGGGGTAAATAAACTCCAGACAAACGAGCCTGCTGCAGAGGCAGCAGCATATAAATTGCTTCATTGATACCATCTGAGTGTCTCCTCATTCATTACAAGGGCTGCCCGTTTCCTTCACGTGTCGTTCAAGAGCGTTATGCTCCTCCCTTCACTGCTCCCTCCTTGGAGAGCTGAGGGTGCTTCTTGGCCTTGCAATTAGTTTACCTTCCCACATTAGAAAAGCTGATAGCTTGGGGCTCTGACAGCTGTCCTCCAAAGTCGTTGCCCCACAATCCACTAATTCTTTTTATGTCGGTACAAAAGGTGGTCAGGGGTTTTGAAAGCAGAAAACCTTCATTCTGGCCTGTGTCATACCTAATCCTCAAATTAATAGTGTGGGTTTTTTTATGGTCCATTAGGAATGTCTGTGGTAGCGTCTAATTACTCCACACTCTGTGCCTCCAAAATGTAAAGCATTGGAGTTTTTAAAGCCTCCCAGTGGAATTGAGCTGTTCTGTAATTGTAGCGTCTTAAACATGCCTTTGCTGGCAAGTGGCGAGTAACTGAGTGGAAGCAAAGCTCCTGATTCTCCTCTCTTTTCCTTATCAGAGGAAGAGTCTGAACCTGCTACCATGCTGGAGCCAGAGGTACAGGAACATCCAAAGCCTGAATCTCAAGATGAGGAGGAGGCACTCTGTCTTTCAACTCCCGTGGGAGTCTTCGGAGAACCTCTGCCCAATAAAAGCAGCTTCTTCAGCAAGTCTGACGACAGCAGCTTAGAAGCTCGTGTTAAAACAAAGCTGCCCTCTGTAGCAGAGGAAGACGACCGGCTGCCTCGCACGCCTGGACGGGAGGTGATGATCCATTCAGAGACTGATACTCTTTTGCTTCCAGCCCACAAGGTGCCATCCTCCATGCTTCCCTTACCATCGACTCCCGGTAAGGAAGAATCTTTAGTCCCTCCAGAAAAGTTCCCTGAACAATTAATGGTGACCAAAACGTCCGTGGAAGAGGAGATTCCTAGGACTCCTGGGCGGGACATTTTGGCCAAGTCTTCACACCCCCTTGCGAAGTCACAGAGCACGGACACTGTTCCAGCCACGCCAGGAAGCGATGCTCCCCTTACGGGAAGCAGTTTGACTCTCAGTTCCCCTCAAGTCCCAGGGAGCCCCTTTTCCTACCCATCCCAATCTCCTGGCATTAACAGTGGCATTCCTCGGACTCCTGGGAGAGATTTCAATTTCACACCTACTTTCCCAGAGGCTGGTGCTACCATTTCTTGCCTTCTGTCTGGCAAAAAACAGTCAGAGGATGAGCTAGATGAGAAACCCTTTAAAGAGCCTCTCGGTGCTTCCCTTACGATCAGCATGAACAGTGTTCCTTCCCCTATCCCCTTTGCCAGCCCCCCACAAGCAGATTTCCACACGGACATGGGTTTGCCACCTGATGAGCCAATACCTGTAGCAGCCCTGCCATGCATGCATGGAGATGGAAGAATGCCCATTGAGGAATGCAAGGCAGAAGTAAAATCTGTTTTGCTCTCACCAGAAGTACCCACTGGTGCTTCCATTCTTCCTCCCCCACCACCACCTTCTGTTCTTCCCAAAAGGAGGCCAGGTCGGCCAAAACGGTCACCACCTTCTGTCCTCTCGTTGGATGTGTACTCGGGCAAAACCATAGAACCTCCTCCTGTGCCAGTGGCCTTGGTGGAAAGTGCTGTGGGCAAAGAGCTGTTGAGTGGACATCCTGATGCTTTCTATGGACTGAAAGACCCTGAAGCTGTCACCCTGGACTTCAGGAATGACGGTTTCCACGAGAAAATAGCAGCTGAGACAGTTGCAGAGAAACTGCCATTTAAGGAACTGGAGAACCAGTGGAATGAAGACTTCAAGGAAGAAGAAGCGCATGTGAAACCTAAAAGACAGTGGCGGAGGCAGAAGAAGACACCTGAGGACCTCCCAGCAATTCCTTCCCCTGAGTATTCCCCACCCCGGCCTCAGTTCAGGCCACGCTCCGAGTTTGAGGAGATGACCATTTTGTATGATATTTGGAATGGAGGCATAGATGAGGAAGATATCAAATTCATGTGTATCACATATGACCGCTTGTTACAGCAGGACAATGGTATGGACTGGCTCAATGACACCCTCTGGGTATTCCATCCTTATATCCTTTCTCACTGGCTCTCTGCGTTGCACAACACATGTAAGATGCACTAGATGTTCATTGTGTAGGACTTACAATGCAAAAGACTTAAGTTTGTTGGTGGAAGAACCATTTGCTTACTAGAATAGCAACTGCTTCTGTCAGCAGGGAATTTTAGACTGTTTTATTCCCTGAAGCTGCAATACAAAAATACTGCAGAAGTGGCTGTTCTTGCTGCATTTTCAATCTAGGACTGCAGGGAAAATCTGTATGCCTTTCTTCTGGGGAGGTTTCCTTGCTAGTTTAAGAAGCTTCTGTCTGCATTTGAACCAGACTTTTTTTTCAGCTTGCCTGCAGAATTTCTAGTCTGCGCATACAGGGCTTTAACTTGGGGCTAAAACCTGCTGTAAAAATAATCTCACCATCTGTGCCCAAAATGATGAGTTAGTGGTGCTAGCAGCTTTAACTTGCTTTGAGTTTGAAATACTAATAAAAGCAGTGGTTTCTAGGCAGCACATCAGGGACAGACAGGGACCCGGGCTGGATGGGGAAATGTACTGCTAGTGCTGCAGCTGGGAGCGTGTGTAGCACTGGCTGGTGCTGGTGGGGCAGGGTCTGGCCCCATCCCCTCCCTCCCTGCCCGTGGTCTGGTAATCAGCGGCATAGGCTGTAGCTTTGAATCTTTGGGAGCAGTTTTGGGACATGCAAGCTGTCTCACAACAAGGCTCTACATGTGTACAGCCACCAGCAGTGATCTCCGGAACAGAGTCTAAAAGGCTGTTCTCATAACCTAAGAACCCTTTAGTAATGTTTTTAGGAAGGATATATGGATTTATGTGTTAAAGAAGACAAATGTGCCACCTTGTGTGTTGCTGGAGATTGTGTGGAGTTAAAATCTTATCCCTTACTCCCTCTAAGACATGAAAGCAAAAGCAAAAAAGCCCAAACCACTTAAAATAATCAGTGATATGATTCTAACAAAAAGCAAGTGGACATCAGTGCTGAGCTGTGCATTTTTGTCCGTTCTTTCTCTGCATCTCAAAGGGCAACATGTAAGATTTAAATTTACAATTTTCTGCCTTTTCATACCAGTGTGGTAGTCTTGAAATAGATTTATTTAATTGTTTAAAGGAAGTATTCTAAAAGGATGATGAAATGCATCATCCCCAGTAATTCTTCGTCTGAGTCTGCCCCATTTAGGGAAGCAGTTCCAAAACCAAACCAGTTTCAAGGTGGGAGTAATTGGCCCCGCAGTGGTGGGGGACCACAGCCAGCGAAAGACAGAACGGGACGGCTGAGGGTAGGGCTTGTCTGTGTCTGTGCGCTTAAACGCGTTTGCAGTTGGCAACTTACATAGTGGAAATATTTGAAATCTGTTTCTCTGTTGATAAGGATTATTGTTAACAGCAATTTTCAGTCACTTTTTAAACTGTTTAAAAATCACCTGCAGCCAGTTGCTGGTTCATCCTGTGCTGCACAGCACGATAGGTATGAAAGTACCCGCAGGGTTCACCTGCTTTGCAGCAAGCTCACACCCCAGCACTCTGATTTCAAGGCCGTTGTTTCTTGCGTTTTATGGTCCCCTCTGCTTCAATTTTCTGGTGTTAAGGATATGTTATGACTCACAGGGAGCATTTTTGGGTAGATCTAAGTCGTCGTAGGCTTCATGGCTGTCTTTTGGGGGTGAACTGCCAGTAGTACAGCTCCACTTACCTTCCAGAAGCCAAAGACCTGAAGGTCCCCTCTGCCTGCTGAGTGCCGCGAGTCCTTGCCAGGCCAGCTGCACGTTTTCTTCACTGATCAGGACAGCGGGGTTTGAAATATCTGCACAGGGTCTTACCTTTCCCATGAGGGTCTGAAGGAGCTGATTTAGCAAGGCCAGTGAGAGCAGTGTCTCTCTCCAAGCCCTTTGGGCTAAGGAGCGTCTCTTGCCCATCTGTGCTGCTTCTAGCCCTGGTTGGTGGGGATGATTGCTGCCATGAGATCAGCGCGCTGTCTTCAGGGCTTGGGGTGGCTGCAGGGAATTTCAGGAGGTAGAACAAAGCATGTCACTCAAAACGAAGAAAATGGTACATCCAGATGGCTAGGCAGCTGTTGTCTGTGTGCGTAGTGGGTGCTGTGGGGAAATCCTTTCTCAAACAGGTTTCTCTTGACAGCTTAACCTTTTTAAGTTTAAATTTTCATTATCTCTTTACTTTAGTTTCCTGAAGCATACAGCTAAGAGGGAAAGACCATGCTTGGATTTCCTGTAGGCATGTGGGCCTCAGTGATGTCTTTTTTATTCTTCAATAATATTGTTATTTTTTGCAACCTCCCCAAAACCTTCCTAATTTTCCAAGTTCCTGGTATTAGCTCCATGTAACTGTAGCAAGTTTTGTCTGATATCCACCGGTGGCTGTGTTTCCCCTTAACTTTTGTCCACCCACTAGCTTTTCTACCCCCAAGAAAAAGAAGCGGGATGATGGGATGCGGGAGCACGTGACGGGCTGTGCGCGAAGTGAAGGCTATTACAAAATTGATAAGAAGGACAAACTTAAATACCTCAACAATAGCCGAGCTTTTGCGGAGGAGCCTCCAGCTGACACACAGGTGAGGACATGTCCTCTGCTGGTTGTGACTGCCAGGTTGTGAATGGGATTTGGTTTTATATGGTGTCACACATGGTGGATGCTTCCTGCCTTTTGGCAAGGAGAGAAGCAAAGCTGTTGCTTCACCTGTGTCGAGTTGGTTGTCCGGGAGTTGCTAGGGAGGTGTTAGTGTTTGATGTGGGATGTTTTAGGAGGCCACGCATTCTGTGATGATGTGTTGTAGCACAAGGGATTGCTTGCAGGGTGTTGGGTCAACTTTGATCACCCATTTGTTCTCTCAGGGTATGAGCATCCCTGCCCAACCTCATGCTTCCACCCGGGCTGGCTCTGAGAGGCGGTCAGAGCAACGCAGGCTCCTCTCCTCCTTCACTGGTAGCTGTGACAGTGACCTGCTCAAGTTCAACCAGCTCAAGGTAGGTCACCCCATGTGTTGGTGCTTTGCACAGGAGGCTGAGGCCAGGGCAGGAGACCTCCTGCCAGTCTGGTCTTACCTTGGTGATGGCCATCTTGGCACTGCGCACCGCTCTGTGCGCCAGAGGATTGAATGATACCTGGCTCTCCTGTACTTCCAGGTAATATAACTTGATACAACAATACAACTTACTACAACGTGTAATACAAATAATTTACCTAAAGAAATAGGAACAGAGCAGTCACAGGGAAAATGTGATGCTTAGTCCAGTGTGCTCACTTGTGAGAAGGAGGGACAAGAGCTGGCTGATAAACGGCTATAAATAAGTATATGATGACTACAGAGCTTGAGCCCTGGTCAGAACCATCAGAGTTATGCGGAACAGACCGATGGCCTTCAAGGGTCTGCTCTCCCCAGTGTGTGGTCAGCGGTAAAAACTCAAGTACTGCAACTCTGGGGGACCTCCCATGACCTCTGTCCTGCCTTCCTGTCACCGCAGGATAGAAGGAAACTAAATCGGGTTGAAGTACCCCAGCACTGCTTGTGGCTTGGAGCGTGCTGTGGATGCTGGACCCAGGGACGACCTTTCCCTTTCTGTGCTGTGGCTAATTCAAGGTTGGGGTTTTGGGGTGTTTTCTTCATGCAGTTCCGGAAGAAAAAACTAAAATTCTGCAAGAGCCACATTCATGACTGGGGCCTTTTTGCTATGGAGCCCATTGCAGCTGATGAGATGGTGATTGAATACGTGGGTCAGAACATCAGGCAGGTAAGCTGGACTGTGGGTGAAATCTGCGCAAAAACCAGCCCTGAAAGAAGTGCTCGAGTATGGCAGCAGGGGTTGGAGTCCTTGCTGTAAGGCACTAGCTATGTCAGCTAGGCAGAGGTTGGCATATAATTTGAAGGTATAAGGGTGGGATTTTCAACAACTCATAGAAACTAAGCACTCAAATCCATAGGAGATAAGCTCTCAAGAAGCCTATCCTGAACATCTGTGTTTTCAGTCAGGTCTGTGTTCTCTTGGGGTGTTAGGGATCATGTGTCTGTTGAGGGGCACAAACGCAGCTCAGGTGAGCGTTGTGTAGATCTCTGCTCACAAATCGCTTCTGCGGCGTGTCCTGACACTGCACGTGGGGTTTTCTGTAGGTCATTGCTGACATGCGTGAAAAGCGATATGAGGATGAAGGCATCGGAAGCAGTTACATGTTCAGAGTCGATCATGACACCATCATCGATGCCACAAAATGCGGAAACTTTGCCAGGTTTATTAATCACAGCTGCAATGTAAGTATCATATTTTTGCATACAGTTGTACTCCGACATACTGGTAAACCCATTGAGTCCTTGCTAACTTTGACTGGGGCCATGTTCAGAAGTAGCAGGGGGTCACAGGGTTATGATTAAATGTTGATGAGCTGCAGCAGATCAAAGCAGAGTCTAAACTAGCGTAAAGAGATTTGAGAGACCTGAGAAATGAAACATGCAGCAAGAAGTGCACTCAGAATCCTCCCGACTGTGTTGGGAGACCCTGATGGACACTTTTCAAACATACTTAACAAATATTTAACTTAACAAACCACTTTTTAGCATTGTTATTCCGTGGGAACAGTCTCCTAGTTTCCACGTGGGAAAAGCACTCTCTGCTCCAGCCGGTAGAGAAGATGCTTTCCCCTCTGCTCTGTGCTGCAGTCTACACTCAAAGACTTGGCTGCCTGACCAAATTATTAAGCATTAGTTGAGCTGCTCTTAGCCTGTGACAAACTTGGTGAAGCATCATCCAGGCTCTTTTGCACCACAAATGACCAGAATGTAGTTATTTTGGAGGAGCACAAGGAGGGCTGCTCTGTTTCTGGCCTCACTCCTCCCTCCCTCAGCTTCCCCTGGGTCCAGGCTCTGGAAGCATGGCTGAGGCTGTCTAGGGAAAAGTCTGCCCTGCTCGCTTTTAGCTTGGAATATTTGTGTGGAGGCTGGGAAGCCATGGCCATGAGGAGCCTAAATCATTACCTGTTCTGTCACCCTTGCAGCCAAATTGTTATGCTAAAGTGATCACAGTGGAGTCTCAAAAGAAGATCGTCATCTACTCCAAACAGCACATCAATGTCAATGAGGAAATTACCTATGACTACAAGTTTCCGATTGAGGATGTAAAAATCCCATGTCTATGTGGCTCTGAGAACTGCAGGGGAACCCTGAACTGAACTCGAGGTTTCTCGTCACACTTGCACCTTCGGCCATGTCAAAACTGTGGTAACCAGGTGTGGTTGCACTTTGCCAAAAAAAGAGGAAAAAAAACAAAAAGAAAAAAAGGAAGAAAAAAATTTTAAAAGGAAAAAAAAAAATTTAAAAAAAAAAAAGAGGAAAAAAGAGAAGAAAAAAACCAAGCAAGTTTCGCACTTCTGCCAGGATCATGAATGAAAGCAAAAAGCGCACATGCTTATGAGGACTGTTCATGTTTCAGGTGCTCTTTCCTTTTCAGATCCAACACGCACACAAAAAGGTGACTACCATTTTGTGGCATGGTCTATCCAAACACTAGCTTCTCTGTTCAGTCCCTACATTAATGCTCCGTAATGGGATAATGGTACCTTTTTTTTAGTTGTTGTTATAAACCTTCATCTTTTCATAAATGCTGCTACCTTTTTCTCATCAGTTTTGTTGGTTGAAAAAGACATTCAACATTTAAATGTGAAGCAGAGACTGAAAATGCCATATAGGGTTTGTTGGGAGCTTGATTGGCTGAAATTGCACAGATTTCTCAGAGTAAGCTGTAAATAAATGTAAGGTTGATGTTACAGAGCAAGCCAGAGGCTTGGGGGTGTGTGAATGGGTGTGTGCGTGTGCTTGGGTGCGTGTATGTATGGAGATGTGTCCGCAACGAGACTATAGGAGAACTGTCCTGCCTTTTCATTAGGGATGAGCCTGAACGAGTCCCCTAAGCCAGACACCCAGGGGAAGAGTCAGGTCAGCTGCAGACCTCAACTTAACGCCTTGGGCTCGTCTCTAATTTTCATATGCCATGCTGGTATATTGGGGGATCAAAACCTCTGCACCCGTATGTGAAAAATACTTGGATACTGCAATCACTAGTAAGAAGTCAAGTCAGTTGTGTAGCTGTAGCATTGTGGCACGGCGTGTGGCCTTTGGGGATGCCCGTTTCTTGGAGATCGGTTTGTCTTGCATGCAAAAAAGGCTGAGGCTGAAATTAAGTGGACAATTCAACCTCTGTTTACACTGTAGAAATCTTACCCTCCTTGTAAGCATACACTACAGCCCATGTTTATAACAGGATTTTATCCCTGTAGATGGGAAACAGGCTGATGTGTGTCTCGTATTAATTTTTCTCACTTGTGTCTGCATTTCCCTGCCCTTCCAGCATTTTACATGGAGGATTTGCCCTGTCCTTGAATATGCGAGATGCCTCCTGTGATAGGAGCGAGCTGTGCCGTGCTGCTCTCCTCCCTCTGTTACTCAGTAACTTGGCCTGGGGTGGTCCTATCTCTCCAACCAGAACATGGTAAAAGTGTCCCCGGGAGCAATCCTGTCCTCCCCCATCTACAGCATGAAAGTGAATGCTTCTTTAAATTTGGAAGGCATATTTTGAAATTATTTTTTGATATACTTTGTCCTTGTAGATATGCTGAGGTGAAGGTTGCAGTTCTTTGAGAGGTTCCATTTAAAAATGGGGCAAAACACCAAAGAAATACTTCTTTGGATGTGATCTGGAAATGTTACATGACCGTTCAGGTATAGACAGGATCAGTTTTTCAACTTGCATTGAATTTCTCCTGCTTTAAAAGTAGAGATTAGTTGTACTAAAACCTTTTTAATTGGCTTGTAAGGGGAAGTTGCAATGTCATTATGATACGGGAAGATTATCTGCATAACTAAATGTCTTCTCCCCACAGAACAAATTGCACAGCTGTGTTCTTGTAGTCTTTCAAAATCAGTGATAATTGCTGTATGACCACAGCTCCACGATGAGAGGTTACGACCTTGCAAAAGAATTTCCTGGAAGTTTTTTTAGCTGTCACGTGGAATTGCCAGGCCCGCACTGCGGAGTGGAGCTTGTAATGTAGGTTAGACCTCTGCGTCTGAATTTCTTCTTCAGACAAAAGGCCTGAAAGAACAGGAACACACAGACTGCTACACGCTGCCTTAATACTGCCTGTATTTCTGTCTGAGGGCGAGGAAATTGTTGCTGAGATTGGACAGTCCATAGTCTCATCTCTGGTTTTGGCTTGGTTTTGTTGTTTCCCCCTCTTTATAAATCTCTCCAGCAATTGGGTAATGGTGACCCAAAACCTAAAATTATGAGAAGCACAACTAGTTTCTGTCATTGAACATTGGTTGTAACTGCAGCGATGGCAGGAGCATTTGGGAGTTAAACCAGCTGCTCAGTTTATTTTATTTTTCTTTAAATAAGGTTCATCTGGTTGTGTTGACGCTACAATTGGCATCTCTACAGCTTGGCCTTTTACTTTCAAAGCTTTGGAAATGCACAGAGGTTTCCTGTGTCTCGGAGCTGAAGCCCCTGTGTGCAGCAGTTCTGCTGATGTCCTTGGCCTTCTTCCTCTCTGGTCCATCACACCACTGCATTAACGGTGGTTTTGTGGGGGTAAAGACACCCCAAATGGCCCAGCCCCTAAGTATCTGCTGACAGTTTTGTATTTCCCAGCATATCTGTGTGCTCTGGATGGGATTAGCCCCTGCAGTTTGCCTTAATTTTTGTTGAGGAGAGGTAGGGAGGCAGGTCAACGTCTTCTGAAACAAGCCCTACGGGTTGGGGTCCTTCACCGCATTTTTAGGAGCACCAAAGGGATTTGGGTGCCAAAGAACGTGACCACCTAAATCACTTGGGTACTTCTGAAACTGCCCGTAGCCCATCCCTTTTCAGGATCTCAGACAAATAACGTGAGTTTTTGGAAGAGCTGAGCTCTCAGCAGCCCCCCAGGAGGAAATGGAGCTGTTGGGACCCACAGCATTTCTGAAAAATCACATTAGTCTGGTCTCAAAGCCAAACCTGAGGCTTCTCTTTTCTTCCCCATAAATCTTGGCTTCCAGAGTCCTACCTGTATAGCTTTTGTCTCAGACTGCGAAGTTGCCCCATCCCCAAAACAGATCATTTTACGGTGAGAAGTCTGGTTTAGTCATTTCCATGAGCTACCGTTGGGACCCACAGCATTTCTGAAAAATCACATTAGTCTGGTCTCAAAGCCAAACCTGAGGCTTCTCTTTTCTTCCCCATAAATCTTGGCTTCCAGAGTCCTACCTGTATAGCTTTTGTCTCAGACTGCGAAGTTGCCCCATCCCCAAAACAGATCATTTTACGGTGAGAAGTCTGGTTTAGTCATTTCCATGAGCTACCGCAGTTGCCTGTGGCTGCCCTGTCCGTGCCAGCCGGTGGGGGCTCATAGGCGGCCAGCCACAGACCTCGTGTTGGAAGGCAGCCCGGTGGAGATGCCTTTCTGATCCCTCTCGGGTACTTTGGCTCGTACTTGGAAAGGGGTGAGATGAGAGGAGAAAGGCAGAAGGCGTGCGATTCGCACAGCAGCCTGGATCGGACCCAGCTGTCGCTTCCCGCGGTCAGCACAGGCACCCCGGCACCCCATGGAAATAGTGGCGAGGACTAAAAGGAAACCTCACCAGCGCGTGCTGCTTTACAGAGAGATTTACTGAAGTTGGTTTGTTCCCTGAAAAGCCTGTCCCCAGTTTATTTTCATTTAAATTGAAACCTAAGACAAAAAGGAGAGAGACTGTGCTCCCTGCAAAATTGTATCTCGCTAGGTGTAATGACCCAAGAGAATAGTGCAAAAGTTTTGGAAATATAACTTGAAGTTTTAGTCTCCCAACATGAAGCTGGCTTGAGTTCAGGGTGCAGATCAAACCCCGCCTGCCGCTGCCCAGCACTTTCATTTCTCCGTTCGGTTCATACCCCTGTTCGCAATTCCAGGTTGGTCCCATAGTGGTCTGTGACTATCGGGGGTCCAGGAGGGGAAGGGGCTCATCTTGCAGATATTTATATTGTATAGAGCAGCTTATTTCTACAAGGAAAAAAAAAAATAATTTTTAAACTCCAACAAAGTATACAGTAGTTTCAGTTCTGGTTTTTGTGACCTTTTTCAGGGATCATTTCAGTGCATTTCTGTATAAAATAAAAATTTAAGGAAAAAAGGATTTTGAAGTATAAAAAAAAAAATGCATCTTCTGTACATAGGCAAACTCAAGAATCTTCTCTTCAAACACTGTTTCTTGTAGAAACATGTTGAAATTTTTTTGCTGATTTCTTTGTACTTCAAGAGCATGTAAATAATTTATTAAAAGTGACTATTGTAATTTGGAGTTCTTTTTAAACAGATTCCAGCTCTAAATCATGTCGAGGCGATGGGGAGGAAGAAGGACTAAGTATAGCAAAGGAGCTGGTGGCATTTACAGCTTGTGTCAAGCTTTGTATAATGTAAATTCTGTATAAATATGTTTTTTGTCAAATAAATAGATGGAATTAGAAGCATTAAGAAACTGAAGACAAAAAATTGCCAAGTCAAGGCTTCTTCTTTCCCCCCCCCCTCAGTCTGAAACCTAATGTGCAAAATCTATTTATTTCAAGCGAGGAAATGTGTACAGTCTAATAGACAACCTAAAATGTATTTAAGCGAGTTTGCAACTGGATTTTTTCAATTTAATATTTGTTTTGTTTTTATGAGTTTCCTCCTTAATTGCCACTGTAGTATTTGTCCAAGTGAAAAGAAACACGTCGTAACGGACACTCTAAAACAAATGGGCAGTTTTAAAAGCAAAATGGAAGAACACCCGGCTCCCAGTCCTTGCAGTTTTCTGGTTCTACAAACAGGTTGTTTTAATTCACAGTGTGAAAATAAAGGGCCTCCTTTAAAAGGAGGCAGGTAAAATGGTTTGCAATAAATGGGGAAAAAAAAAAAAATCTTATTTTTTTTTAAGTTCCTTAAAAAAGCAACTCTGCTTTGAAGATATAGGATTTCTGCTTTTTCTTTCGTTAAGCAAATTTATAAATTTAGGGATGTTTTGTGCATATAGAATCTGTCACCAGTATGTATCTTGTTTTGAAGAAAGTGTTTTTGTTGTGGATGTGTCATGCTGTACATATTTGTTCATATTTTTGTGAATTGAATACTATGTACCATTGTATTATAGTAACTTTTATAAAGCAAACCATAAATATACTGACTTTTCTTACAGAAAAATTATGTTGTGCTTAATGTATAGCCAGGGCAGCTGTTTGCTCTCGGACCCGTGCCGGGAACCGT